TAACAACCAGATTAGACTTTTAAAATTCATTCCTCCCCAGGATCCCATCTATTAATAAAATGAAAGGAGAGTTGAGTTAACTACATTTCACTAAGAAAAAATATCTAGGTTTATCCTAACCTCAATAAGATTTTGTCACCACGAAACATGCTTAAAAGATTTCTTGTAAATTCTTAACTGAATAAAAAAGGAAAATAAGTGACCCATGATTGGAAACATTATTTTTAAATTTAATACTGCTCTGAACTTTGCCAATAACATCCCCACTTTAGGCTTATATACCATTTAGCATATTAAAATTAATATCGAAATTTCATTTGAAAAAAAAAAAGTTTTATGAGCTAAAGTTTATTTTTTTTAATGCATATTGTATTATAAAACTTCAAATACTACAGGTATATTTAATTCATATATTATCAATAATATTTTCATAGTAATACAGTTTGTGTATACCATGTTCAGTAAACATCAAAGGATCAAAAGTTAATTAGAAGGTCACTGTGAGTCCCAATCAAGGTGTACAGGGTATACACAGGGACCAGTAAGTAAGTGTCAATCAAGTTCCAGCATCCAATGATGGACTTTCACGCACTTGATTGACAGGGCTACCCAGACCAGGTATTTTTGAAGGCGGTGCTTAAAATCTCTGCCTTTAAAGAATTTTCACTTTTCCCCTGTTTCCATGGCAGCTATTGACAATTTGCAATTTTTAAATGAAACACGCAGAATTACAGATAATAATCACTAAATCAATAAAAGTTTCATGACGATTGTCCAAGGGACCAGAGGGAACACACTCGGACAAAATTCGTCCCTTTTTGAAGGTTTCCATGGCAACAGTAGCCATTTTTAGATTGAATGACCACACAACACAACTACAACCAGTAATCATCCTTTGAGGAGAGTTTCGGGAAGATTGTCCCCGCCATCTCCAAGAAACAACCCGTAGAAGAAAATTCAAAAACGTGTACAATCCCAATATGTCACCACGACTTCGTTTGGGGCGACATAATAATGTATCTTGAAATCAGACCAAAACTGTAGAAGAATTTGCGTTTTGAAAGCACTTCACAGAAATTTCTATTTTTAGTAACCATGGCAACACCATTCATCAAAATCAAAAACAGATATTTATATAGAAATATGTATCTTAGTGCATGTATAGTCTACCTTTGTGCCAAGTTATACTGAAATCAGACCAAAACTGTAAGAGTAATAGCATTTTGAAAGCTTGCGCAGAGACTTTTATTTTTAGTAACCATGGTAACACTATTCATTGAGATAAAAAACAAATGCCTAGAATTATGTTTCTTAGTAAAGTCTACGTGTGTGCCAAGTTATACTGAAATCAGACCAAAACTGTAGGAGAAGTAGCATTTTGAACAAGAGGCCCATGGGCCTTATAGGTCACCTGAGCATTATGCAACAACTTTCCAGTTATTGAATTTGATTCATGTTTTAAGCCAGATGCTATGGCATTCACAATTTTGAAAGAGGCACCATTGATAATCATAACATTACACTTAGCACTGCTTAGCTTGGTTACTTAATACCCATAGGCAGGGTAGGGGAACAAAAAATGCATTTCAACTTATCATTAATATTCAGCAATAATTAGTAGTGCCCTTACCACACATGAACCCCTATCCTTAGGCCTAGATCCTACCACTGCACAATATTTGAAAAGACATCCTTGCTTTTCAAAAATATTTGATAAATACCAAGGAGCAGATTTCAAACAATTCATTCATTTTCAGTACATAAGTACAGCCCCCCCCTCCCCCGACCCTAAAGCCTTGAAATTCACAATTCTGGAAGATTAGGGCCCTTGCTCATCATAACCATATAGGTAATTCATCTTCATACCCAGAGGCAGGGAAAATTTTTTAATGTAATTTTTCACTGCATAATCAATAGAGCCCCACCCTAACACCAGAACCCCTGACCCTGGGGCCATAAAATTCACAATTTTGGAAGAGGCATTCTTGCTTACCATAACAATGTACTTATATATGTAGTAAGTTTATTTAATATCCAGGAGCAGAGAAAAAGACTTTCAAAGAATTCATGTATTTTCAATATATAATCAATAGAGCCCTGCCCTAACACCAGAACCCCTGACCCAGTCACCCTGGGGCCATAAAATTCACAATTTTGGTAGAGGCACTCTTGCTCATCATAACTATGTGCTTAGTTAGTTTATTTAATACCTAGGAGCAGAGAAGAAGATTCTCAAAGAATTCATGTATTTTCACTATATAATCTATAGAGCCCTGCCCTAACACCAGAACCCCTGACCCTGGGGCCATAAAATTCACAATTTAGGTAGAGGCACTCTTGCTCATCATAACTATGCACTTAATTAGTTTAAATACCAAGAAGCAGAGAAGAAGATTCTCAAAGAATTCATGTATTTTCACTATATACTTATTTAGCCCCGCCCTAAAACCAGAAACCCTGAGGCCATAAAATTCACAATTTTTGTAGAGGCACTCTTGCTCATCATAACTATGCCAGGGCTCAACATTAAGGCACGTCCGACCGACTCAGACTAGTAAAAGTCAGGTCCGGTCTTGTTTATTTTGTTTCATGGTAGCCCGACTGGTCGTGTAAAAATGTTTCGACCAAAGTTCAAATGAAGCAAAACTTGCAACTAATTTACAGATTTTTCTTGTTTATTGATGTGTCTGATCAGGTTTCACTTTTATTTTTTGATCCCAACTAAAAAATCATGAACTTTAAAAAATTACATTTGTTTCCTGAATTGCTGTAAATGTAGCTGGTGGATTTGTTTTCCTGCCAAATGTGTGTTTGATCAATTAGCTGATACAATACTTGAAATATATAATATGTCAACCTAGTCAACGTTCACTTTAAATATAAAAAGTAATGATCATTATTATATCATTTAGCAACCCCCCACAACTTTTGGAACTTCTTTGTCTACCGCAAGACAGCCATGATGGGTGTCCACTGTAAATATCAAACCTGGTTAGTTCAGTCCGGGATGTTTGATCCCTTTATTTAGGCATTATGGAAACTGAAAATAAAAGTTTTAAACTGGGAATTTTATTATGTCAATTTATGAGATCGTATTAAGCCCCCCCCCCACCCACACACAAAAAATCCACCGACCAACCCCCTTGTTTTTAGGGTAATATTACCAACATATTACAGGAAACAAACATTTTTTATTCCATTATAGTATTATAATACATATCAATATTTCATAAATCGTACATATGAATATGGGGGGGGGGGGGGGCAGGGATCATAAAATTCACAATTTTTGTTTCCCTTCACCCTAGATGCTTTGTGCCATATTTGGTTGAAATTGGTTCAGTGGTTGCAGAGAAGAAGCTGAAAATGTTCAAATGTTAACGCACGACGACAGACGCAAACAGATAGCAATAGGTCACCTGAGTTTACTCTGGTGACCTAAAAATTGTTTACAGACAGACAGACTGACTGACAGACTAGACCAACACTATCATGTAAGTTCTTCTGTTCTCTGACCAGTAGAGCTAAAAATGATGCAAAGAATTAAGTATCTTTGCATAGTCTACTTGCGTGTCGTTATATTGAAATCAGACCAAAACTGTAGGAGCCCACTAGGAGGTATAGCATCTTGAAAGCATTTCACAGAAATTTCTATTTTTAGTAACCATAGCAACACCATTCATTGAAATCAAAAACTGATGCACAGAATTATGTTTCTTAGTATAGTCTATTTATGTGCCAAGTTATATTGAAATTGGAACAAAACTTCCAACACATACTCACATACCCTCAACCACCCTAACACACACACCGAGTTATGATTTGAACATTTTAAAATCTACACTAGTACCTCAGGTTGCTTCCACACAAGTTTCAGCTTTTCTTGTCCAGAGGTTCTTAAGAATTTTTTAAGATTTTTCCTATATATTTCTATGTAAAACTTGGATTTCCTATTCTTCCCCTGCCCCATCCCACAGGTCATGATTTGAACAATTTAGAATAACCTATCCCAGGAAGCTTCCAAGTCATCTTCGCTAGCCAACGGTTTCTGATATGCTACTCTCCTCATGAACCCTTGGCAAACAATGTTCATAGAAGTTGGGTTAATTTTTTCTCGATCGGTCGACCAATCAGCAATTGTTTTTTGTAAATGATGACATTTGCATTCGGGATACTTCTCGACTCTTTAATCTCGGAAATGAAAAACGCAAGTAAACAACTAGTCGTAAGATAACATGCAATTCTATGAATAGAAATGGTGTCATTCAATATCTTCTATATAACTCATTCTTCAATATTAGTGATTTTTTAAAAAATATTTCTTTTCTCCTTTATTTTCCAAAAAATAATGTGTAAGTAGATAGATTGATATTGATATGATTTGATACTTGTATAAGGATATAGTTTGAATAGTTTTATGAATGTGAGTTGAGGAATAAAAAAAAATTGGTCATTGTTGTATTGCATTTACGGGATTTCAATTGCAGAAAATGTGACATAATTTTCGAATACGCATAAAGATGTTGTTTTATTTAAAAATAAAATCATTTGGCATGATATATGTGTACATTATCTTAGCATATAAATGAAATAATATATTTATTTTGTCAAACATGCTAAAATTATCCTAATTATTTTTTTCTGAACTTAAAAATTTGTAGTTTATGTTCGTAACGCATGGTGTCCATATGCATTGAACTTTTTAACACCTCTCTACAAGCATTAAGAAATTTGTCAAGTTCAATTTCTGTGTTTAATTAATGAGTATGTGTGATAAATTATTTTTAACAATATGCTTCATGAACATAACTCAGTTCTTTTTGTAATTTTAAAATGATCTCTGATTGTAAAATGTTTGGTGTCTTGACCGTTACGAACATAATAGCTTTCAGTATGATTGCTAAAATAACAGCCAATGAATCATAAGTTTGGCTCAGAAAGTCCGTAGCAGTGGTATAATTATAAATTAAAAACGAAAGTAGAAAGGTTGCGCGGCGGTCTGCAAAAAAACATGGCGATGCTCATTGTGTCCACGTGGAAGACAGAAGTTACGTACATAATAGATTCGGTAAGTATTTTCATATTGTATCAATTTTAGTGAATTTTTAACACATAAATACAGTCATTGTATTTCTATACCATGTAGCCATTAATCAGAAACTGAAATATGTCGCTTATGACCATACAAAATGCATAAATATGTCCGAGTCGAGTACTTTTGGTTTAACATTTGACTTTTGATTCGCGTCTTTTGTTACGAACATGTGTTTTTGCATTATTTGTATAATCTATTAATGATAAAGTTATATTGTACTATATTTTATTCTATATTTGTTAGTTTTGTTCTGCTCTTATCAAAGGATGAATACTTTTTGAATATTTGTTTTAATATTGCCATATCATTTACGCAATTACGTTCATAATAGAGACACGAAAACTTGAAGTAGTGACATAATTTGTACTTTAATTGCCTTCTTTCTGGTTTTATCAAGGATATATAATAAATATAATTAAACAGCATATGTGTTGATTACATCATGTTGTATTTTGTTTTTTATATATTTTTTTCTTTCAGATTTACAAGAAATGACTGAAATATGTTCGTAACAATGACACAAAGATCCAAGACTCAAAATAGAAGACCTAGGATATTTAGCAATCCATCTGACAATTTACTTGTCTGCATTAATTCTCTTTGAAAGCTAGTCTATTATTAAGCTTTGAAATGAAATATTAAAAGTATTAAAGACAAGTTCGATTGTCTTGTTATTTTTTTTGTTCGTTTTTAAAGCCTGATTCGGAGTTAGGTGTCCATGTTACTTACATAATTTCTCCTTTTTTGAAACTAGAAATAAAAATTGTGACTTTTTAAATAAATTCCATTTAATATAAAATTAAACATGATTTCATCATACCTTTTTGAATACATTATTTTCATATTTTAACAACTTGTTAAATTCTAGTAACATGTTACTTGTTTAGTGCTTATGTAAGTAACGGTGTCCATTGGTAATCTTGGATATATTTTCTAATTATAATGGAATAAGGCAGAAATAAGTCATGCAATAAAACATGCAAACTAGTGTCTATGTACTTCAAAAAGGATTCACCAGAAAAGTAGAGCTTATTGATTTAAAAAACAGTCACTGTGGACACCAAGTTACGTGCATAAAATTTCAGACATGCTTGTACATTTGGACACCTATCTCCTCTTTAAGACTTCAGATTATCTTCCCATCAATTTTTTTTAGAAGCAGGAAGGGTACTGACTCAATTAATATACATAAATTATGAAATTGATTATTTTTAAAAAATAACCCTTTGGTCACACATCTGAACTCAGTACTGAAGAATGAGTTATATATGTGATTAAGAACCTATATTGAAGCTTCCGATTTGTAATATAAATAATAAATAAACATAACTCAATTATTTCTTCTAAAATATTCTTGAAAAAAACTTTGATTTAATTTTTTTTAAACATGCGTCTTTATTTCTGTCAATGACACAATCTGTGCGTTCCTGATTTGATTGGAAATCATGTGACGAAAACAATCCCGTCTTTTGACTTCACCGTATGCCAAGGGTTTAAGAGGAGAGTAGCGTATCAGAATCCCTTGGCTAGCAAAGATGCTTCCACATAAGTTTCAGCTTTTCTGGCCCACCAGATTTTTTAATGACCCCACCCTATTATTGTCTTTTTTTGATTATCTCCCCTTGTGAGGGGACTTGGTCCTTCATTTTTACAATTTAAATTATCTTTCACCCGAGGATGCTTTGTACCAAGTTTGGTAAAAATTTGCCCAGTGGCAAATCAGTGGTTCATGATAAGAAGTCAAAAATGTGAAAAGTTTACAGATGGATGGACGACTGACAAAATGTGATCAGAAAAGCTCACTTGAGCCTTCAGCTCAGGTGATCTAAAAATTAAAACTGAAAACAAAACAGCAATGCAAATATGTGTCCATGCATGCCCCTTTTGATAAATTTATCCAAAATTTTCACAACATTGGGAAAATGGTCACCAAGTGCTGCATTCAGGGGGTCATCTGTAACACTGATGTCATTTCCAAGCCAAAAAATGAATATATCACTTTTTGAACTTTGGATACCTGGTAATATTAGTAAAATTCAATCAAGTTGAGGAATCAATTACCTTCTAATCTCTTTACTTTTTTTTCAACTATTTCTGCATCTTCTTCATACTTTCCTATAAAATGTAATGTATAAATCAGTTATGTGAAATTTTAATTTATGTGAAATTTTCTAAATAATTTGCTTTGAAATCATTAATTTTTGTGAAGGTTTTGTTTTCACTGTTTTTGATGTAATGGAAAGACCTTTTGAATTTATAACCAACATAAAATTCAAAATTTCAAATCCATTAATTACTACTAAACATTTTCCAACCACAAAATTACATCACCACAAATCAGTTTTTTTCTCAAACCTCAAAAATTTGCCCCCACAAAAATCATAATATGTTATTTTTCAGCGGGTAATTTTGCAACAATAAAAAATATTTGGTATACGTTTGAAATTTGTAAGCATTTCTCTGGTTTCCAGATCTTCTTCTACTTGTTTTCTCAGTTCCTCTTGGTAGTGCTGGTCACGTACAGGATCCATGGTTTCATGTCTTAGGAAATCAACCTCCCTCTCATACTTACATCCATTTTTGAGGAAGTTGTCTAAATTCACCACTGCTGCTCTGACAGTGGACCAGATATGACTGAACTCTATGTTGGAGAGGGAGGGAATACAAGAATGTACACACCGATTCCTGGCCAATCGAATAGTTTCAATACAAGCTGAGGGAGAGCAGTCAGTTGGATCTGGATCATTACCCCAACCCTTTGAATGCGGTGGTATACCACATATATTTCTTAGCAATGCATAGAGTAAAGAGATGTCCATATCTTCATAATTGCCAGTATAGGTTCCATTTCTGGGTGAAATCAGATTCATCTGTGGACCTGTTAGACGAGATAGACTACTAGTATTAGCTTTTTGTTTGATAACGTGTGGAAATGTTTGTGGCGGAACAAAATGGCGTAATACATCACGGAGTTCATCAGTGCATGGACCCAGTATAAGACGACTTGTTCTATTGGCATTCGTGGTCTCCTCTGTTGACATGTAAGGAGAGCTTGAGGTGGCCATTATAAGTTGGCAAAATCAAGAAAACCTGAAATGAAATTAACTGTTTTGATTATTACCCTCTAGGGCTGGGAATGCCTGGGATGATACATCGAGATATCTTTGAGGATGATACACATATCGATACATATGAAGAAATATCGAAATATTGCCCAAAAAAATCTGACTTCTGTTTTTCTTTGTTTATTTAATATTTGGGGTTTAATATATAAAATAAATAATTAGCTAAATATAAATATAGATTAATCATATGAAACAAGATGTGTTTGTAAAACACTGATGCCCCCATATGGCAACATTGTGAAGATTGAACTTTTCTTAGATGCAAATTTAATATAATGGTACCCAAAGTAGGGTCTCCTAACTGGAAATACAATTGTAAAACATGAAAGCTCTATCACCATTTGTTCCCAAGTTATCGCAAGGCTAAAGTTTTTTCATAAGTACAGAAATCTTCAAGATCAAGGTCAGAAGGTCAAGGTATTGGTATCAAATGAAAAGTCTTTCCACAAAGATCACATGTTTGAAGTATGAAAACCCTAGCACTTACTCTTCAGAAATTAAGAGTAATTAAGAAATGCCGAGGTTAATGTTTTTCCATAAGTCCCGAAATCTTCAAGGTCAAGGTCAAAAGGTCAAGGTTATTGGTATCCAATAAATGCTCTTGCTCCAAAGAATATATATGTGAAGTATGGATGCTCTAGCCCTAACCGTTCAAATGTTATGGCCAAGGATAAGATTTTTGTGTAAAGTAGGTCAAACTCTAAGGTCAAGGTCAAAGGGTCAAAGGTCTTGATATTAAATGATAGGTCTTGTCGCAAGAATTAAATGTGTAAAGTATGAAAGCACTAACTCTTACCCTTTAAAAGACATGTATTTTGTTTATCCTGCAACATTTTTCTTACATTTGAACGTCCAAAACAAGTTATTTTCGTCCTGACCCCCCCCCCCCCCCCCCGACCCGGCCCCCTCTAGATCCGCGCATGTGCATTGTGCAGATTAACACAATGATAGTTACCCGTACGTGTAAAATCACTTGTAGGTTTATCTACGTTACAGAAAACAAAGACCCAGTTTCCTCTGGCCTGAAAAATCTGAATTAAAAAAAATCCAATCTACGCATTTCCTGTGACCTGTAATCATTAAACGATCATATATGTTTTAACAGAAACTGTAAAACTGCAGATACATAAATGAACAATGTCAAAAATTTACATTTCAATAGGTATCATGCATATTCAAATGTCAAGACCCGTGTACCTGATATTTAAACAGTTTTTGGCCTTCTTTCACACATGATTAACTTTATGCAACAACGGTCCCGCCAAATTGCATAATAGATAATCGTGCCGATCCCGATGCAAAATGTACTACAGGGTGTCCCATAATATATGATACCATTTTTAAATTATTGTCATAAACGCAAGTCTTGACCAATTTCTTTGAATTTTGTCTCATTTAATATTTGAATAAATACAATTTTTAGCAACAAATAATTTCAGTTACAAATTGTCACATAGTTGGAATAATGTATAGCCACATAATTACGTCAAAAAAAAAATGCTAAAAATGCATGTCAGGCAAAATGGATTACCGGTAATTTCATTGGCAAACAAGCTGGGTACACTCTCATTTTAAAACTAATTATCAAATCCAGTCATAAGATAATGTTACTAAACCTAAATCTACATCTTTAATTTGTATAAAGGTATGTTTCCATCGGAAATCCAGATTATAACCAAAGAAAACCGCTCTGTTGTCTTAAGTTTTAGAATTTTGTGCAATGTCTTGACATGATCATTGCCCCGATTTGACGTCATGTAGGGGACATAATTGAAAAATGATAGCATTTTTCAAAGTGAACTCATTTTTTTCGAGTTCCCTTCAATGTTCATCAAATTGTGTGAATAAAATTGGACAGTGTATGTAATGTTTATGGTGCATTTGTTATTATTCAAAATTCATTACATTATATTTTATATAATCATGAAATGGTATACATGTATTATATAAATATTGCATGAAGTTGAGTGTAACATTGAAAATTTTCACCCCAAGAAAACCATTGTCAACCGAGGCGCAGCCGAGGTTGACAATGGTTTTCGAGGGGTGAAAATTTTCAATATTACACTCAACTACATGCAATATTTATTATATTGTACTGAATGTTTTATACAAATAGGCCTACATATTACAGTGAACCGTGCGCGCATAAATTCCGCGCAGTCGCTATTTTTTGTAATACCACCCGTCGTCAAGCAATGTTGACTGTTGCTACGCATGAGGGCGTGGCTTCATTATTCAGCGGGTAGTAGTGTTTTTTATCAAATGTTTCTCGACGAATCAGGTTCAAGTAATTTACATGTACATGAAAGTATAATATCATATATTATGGGACACCCTGTATGTAGTTTCATAGGTACTGTGATCAACAAGTTCACTAAATGATACCCCCGCCTCCGATATGATTATTATGAAAAAGTCCCTGTTTTGCTCTTGGAGACCCGAAATAAGCTGATGTCAGATCAAAAAGTAAAATGGGAGGCGCTAATATGTAATAAAGAATAGAATCTGTGAAAGTAATTCGAGATGGGTACCCTTCAATATTATAAACATAATGGCAGTGTTAAACTAATGTTTTGCTCTGGAGAGCACTGGCATCAGACGTTACTCGTTTTTCTTTTAATAAAAAAAGAAATACACCCCCTACCAAATAATAAACGTTATCAAAAGAAAAATAAGTAACGTCTGGTGCCTGTGAGTCAGGCATATAAATCATGATCACAGACTTGGGATCCGGGGCATAAAAGGGCTTTAATTGTCCCCCCCCCCCCTAATGTTGCCAATATATAAAATTCGAATACTACCGCAAAATAGTTACAATATGGTTGTGATTCAACAATAATAAAGTTTAATGCGTTTTTTCTCTCTGAAGGAATAGGAAGATTGCTGCTCCCCTTAAACACAGTTAAAATATTTGGTTGTGAACCCCCCCCCCCTTTCTTGCCGCCCTGTAAATGGAAATAACTTTCTGTATTGTTTATTGATTGACAATATGTCATTGATATGTCGTTGAAAGCCATATCAAGTGGTTTTTATGCCCCCGTAAACGTAGTTTCGGGGGTATGTAGTGTCCGTCTGTCTGTCTGTCTGTCTAGCTGTCTGTCTCTCTCTGTCTGTTTTTCTGTTTGTTCGCAAAAACTTTAACCTTGCCCATAACTTTTGATTCTGTGGAGGCATGACTTTCTTATTTCACATGTGTATTCCTTGTGTTAAGACCTTTCTATTAAATTTGAATTTAAGAAAAGTTTAATCTTTGCTATGTTGCCATACGGGGGCATCAGTGTTTCACAAACACATCTTGTTTCTTGTGTAACTTGTGTAAGTTTATAATAAATTCTGCTTTAGGAAGACAGTTTTTAAAAAATTCTACTTTAGGAATACAAAAATAGGTCTACTTATAACAGGACGCAGTAAGTACCCATGGGAATCTTACAGATTGTTGGAAGACTTGATCTCTAAACACTGTATAATACTGGTGTTGCCAATCAGAAACTCGATCAAGCATCTTCTGTAATATCGAATAAGAACATAAGTAAATCAAGTTTCATTTTTATGCCCCCGTAAACGAAGTTTCGGGGGTATATAGTTTTTGTCGTGTCTGTCTGTCTGTCTCTCTGTTTGTCTGTTTGTCCGCAAAAACTTTAACCTTGCCCATAACTTTTGATTTAGTGGAGCTATGACTTTCATATTTCATATGTGTATTCCTTGTGACAAGACCTTTCTTTGGGTACCACCAAATTTGACCTTTTGACCTTGACCTTGGAGTTTGACCCACTTTTACATGAAAATTTTAAAATTTTACTTTGGCCATATCTTTTGAACAGTAGACACCAGGACATTTATACTTCACATATGTAATGTTTGTTAAAAGATCTTTCACTGGATACCAACAACCTTGACCCTTTGACCTTGACCTTGTAGATTTCCATACTTGTGAAAAAACTTTAACCTTGGCCATAACTTTTGAACGGTAAGGGATAGGGCTTTCATACTTCATATATGTAATCCTTGTGAGAAGACCCTTCATTGGATATGAAGATCCTTGACCCTTTGACCTTGACCTTTGAGCTTGACTTACTTTAAAAAAGCAAACCTTGGCCATAACTTTTAAAGAGTTAGGGCTAGTGCTTTCATACTTTACATATTTGATTCTTATGACAAGACTTTTCATTTGATAACAATAACTTTGACCCTTTGACCCTGACCTTGGAGTTTGACCTACTTTTTAAGAAAATTTTTAAAATTTTACTTTGGCCATATCTTTTGAACAGTAGACACCAGGACTTTTATACTTCACATATGTAATGTTTGTTAAAAGACCTTTCACTGGATACCAACAACCTTGACCCTTTGACCTTGACCTTGTAGATTTTCGTACTTGTGAAAAACTTTAACCTTGGCCATAACTTTTGAACAGTAAGAGATAGGGCTTTTATACTTCATATATGTAATCCTTGTGAAAAGACCCTTCATTGGATATGAAGATCTTTGACCCTTTGACCTTGACCTCTGAGTTTGACCTACTTTAAAAAAGCAAACTTGACCATAACTTTTAAAGACTTAGGGCTAGTTCCTTTCATACTTTACATATTTGATCCTTATGACAAGACCTTTCATTTGATAACAATAACTTTGATGCTTTGACCTTGACCTTGGAGTTTGACCTACTTTTTAAAAAATTAAACGTCAACCATAACTTCTGAACGGTTAGGGCTAGGGCTTTCATGCTCTACATAAGTATTTTATGTGGCAAGATCTTTCATTTGATACTAATTACATTGACCTTTTGACCTTGACCTTGGAGATTTTTGTACTTATTAAAAACCTTTAACATTAGCTTACTTTCAAATTTCACAATTGTTTTCCAGTGAGAATACCCTACTTTTGGTACCAATTAATTAAATTTGCATTTAATAAAAGCTTAATCTTTGCTATGTTGCCATACGGGGGCATCAGTGTTTTACAA